TGAATTCAGGGCTTGACTCCCTTTCCTACCTCTTTCATGACTTCAATTTCCATTTAGGAAAATGCCTGGGTTGTGCTTCCTTCTTACCATGGCAACTGGCACACAAAGTGAGGGAAAACCATGTCTGTTGCTCTGAAATTGTTGTTAGTCATAGCCAACTATTATTGCTGTATGAAAAACAGTGTTTTCGTACTCTTTGTGCCACAGAGTCTAGCAATGACTTGGCCATAAGACAAGTGGAGAATCTCAAACTTCTCCCCAGCATTCCCATGGTTATGAAAATCAAGTAAAAGGCTCCAGTCAGCACTATTCCCTAAATAAGGGTGCTTGAACACATGGAAGTGCTTGAACACAATTCCAGCCAATTTCTTTTGCCTTCTTTCCCACCACCACAAGTGTGAAAGTCTGACTCAAGACAATCTTTTGTGTATGTTGCATTGGAAGCAACAGCTATAACATCTTGGATACTTTCAGCTAAGCCAAAACCAGGATTAAGCAAGTTCCCAAACTGGCTGTAAACCAGGGAACAAGCAACCTAGTGCCAAAGAGCATTTGATACCGGTGTTTCATGCATCCTCCTTTCAACACAGGAATCCAGCTATGGGCAAAAAACCCATCAAGCTGGTGTCCCACTGGATGGAGCTAAAGGCCAGTTGAGAGCAAAGGGAAGGCAGCCAGTGCAGTGAAGGAGACTTAGGCCAAGCTGGCGCAAGGTGTCAACAACAACAAAAAGAACAGGATCATAATAGCCAAGATAAAGACATTGACCTCTCCAAGTTCACTTTCTGTCAGAGCAGAATAAACTACAAGGAATAAAGAACAAGTCTCTCTACAAGGGTAAAAGATGAACAGTTTCAGAGTTAAGGATTAGAAATGAATGGGAGCCGCAAAGCTCAGACCTGGCCATGTCCTGATGCCCCCAAAAGTTAGATACAGTATGACTGTTAAAACACGAAGGTTTGGTTGACTCCATACCAAAAGAAGGTAGCTATTTTCTCATGTCCTATTTGCAAACTGCAGTGAGAACTGAACTATGTTTTGCAAATGTAGAAAATTCATAGGAATTATGTTGTGCACTTTGGGTCCAGATCCATCTTAAAACTGGACCTGCTTTCTTCCATAGCACTTCTGCTAAAGGGGGCACATATCTCTCTATCATTTAAATCCCTTATCTGGAAAGAACAGGAAATACCTGAATTTAGTGAGAGGAAATAGTTTCAAAGAAAACTTAGTAGCTGCTTAAGAAAGAACCACAAGGAAAAGGAACATGGGAACAAACAGGGCTGGAGAAGGAAAAATAACACACATGATGATTATTAAACAGAAAAAGATTCCAGGTAAGTAAAACCCAAAAAGGGAAGGAAAGCCCACAGCCAAACAACTCCAAAACCCAGCCAATAAGACAGATATGAACCAGTGTGAAAAATACCAGATAACTTCTTTCCCCCCTCCTTCATAGGAGACAGGAAAAAGTTTACATCAGAAAGAACTGCTGCTCCCAAACTGCTTTACTCACCTTTTTGATTGTATTGTGAGATAATTTGCTTTGAAGACTAAGGGTCGGACAGTGGAAGCCGAAGAGGGGTGTAAAAAGGCTTGGCTGGTTATTTGCAGGGATTATTTGAAGTGTCATGGCTTTACCCTCTCCAGCCTCTGTGCCAGCCACGGGACCCTTCTAAAGGTGACCATTGCTTAGGAAAATATATAGACAGGGATGGTTTTCAGTCCTGCATTCACTCACGGTCTGTAACAGCCCCAGGTAGGCAGAGCAGCTCACTGCTCATCACTTAGCAGTCTTGCAGAGCTTACCTCAACTATTGAACGTGCAAGAACTGCAGATGACCTTACCCATGCTGGAATTCCACCTCGTGTGCAAACTAACACATCCAGAAACACCCTCACCGTTTATTCCTGTTGAGGATGAGCTCTCATCACTCATCCTCAACTCCTTGAGCAGCAGGATCTCCTCAAGATAGATGACTGAGATTACAGGGAGAGTTCTTGCAGGAGGTTCCCAGCATACCACACGTTGCAGAGGCTTTCCCCAGTTGCCAAAGAGGGCAGGGCTGCCAAAGGGTGGGAGAAGGAGGCTTCATTTATGAGCTAGTTTTAGGCCATACTTGGTCCCAATAAACATTTGCTTGGCACAAGTCCCTGTTAAGGAATGTAAAAACCCAAGATGCCAGGGCAGCGAGCAGGATGAGGGATAAATCATCTGAGTCAGAGGATACCAAACACCACCGACAGCCTGGCTGATGGTTTTCACAGTAAGGTGGGTAGCCAGATGCAAGCATGGAGATAGTATGTTGTATATATTATATAGTGGAGATAGTATGTTGTACATGAACCAGTAAGGTATGGAGAAACAGGGCCTGAGAGAGTCTGCGTAAAGAGATCTCATGCAAAAGAAGAAGTAGTGAGAACAAAGGAGGAAGGGGTAGGAAATCCTGTTGGAAAAATACACAAAAGCAGCCCCATTGCCTGAAGGAACAGACACATTCAGTCCTGCCAGCCACAAGCATTCAGCAATGTGAAAGACATCAGGTTATGTCTGTGCGTGTATGGGAGGGAAGCAGATGAGGACTTGGGATTCTCGTTGGCTTGGAGGCCCCGCTGCTCTGTCATGTCTGAACAGAGGATGTTTCTCAGCAAGGCCCCTGTTTCTCAGAGCTGGGATTGTTACAATAAATTAATAATCTAAAAATACAGTTGATAACTCCATGGGAGAATCAAAACATGCTTTGTTTGCCAGGAGAGAGCTGTGAATACTCACACCTACAGAGAAGAAATGCACAGAACAAATCTGCAAACAAATTGCACAGCTTCCACCTGGAGAAGTCACTCTGTCTTAGCCCAGCAATTTACATTCACATATGCATATTGCCTGTGTTGAGGACCATAAAACATCCATCCGTACCTCCGAGCAGCAATTCAAACAGCTGAGAATGACCAGGGTTTCTTTACAAGCCTCAGCCAACACATAAACCAGTTCACCACCATTCCTATCACAGACTCCATCCCTTCCTCACCTTCCCCTGGCATCCCAGGTAGGGAAGTTGCAGAGATTGGAATCAGCCTTCAGAAGCTGAAAAACCTGACAAAGTTGGGCAGGAGTTTTCACAAGCATGCTCAACATTCTGCCATCAGTCCAGTCCTTTTCTTCCTCCTCTGTTCAGGTGGATAAAACCGGACTTTTCTGGATGCACTGGGGCACGCTTGGCTCTCCTGCATAGATCCACCATTGCCAGGGTCAATCACAGCTTTTGTGTTTTAAGGACATAAATCACAAAGTGCAACGTGAGGGAAAAGCTTAACAAGCAGAAAGCAAAGTGAGGAACCGAAACTTCATTAGCTTAAGCTGCTGTTTATGCAATAGGTCAATGGTATCATTTGCAACTGGTTGGAGCAGTTAATACTGCAACTTTTTGCAGCTGATCGTGCAAAACCTCTTTGAAAAGTAATGTAAAAGAAATAATCTCGGTTCCTCTTCTGCAAAGTCTTGCAGCATTTTCTCTACGTTGAGAGCAGTGCTATCATCATACAACAGTTAGATGCATCGGGAAGCAAGAGACCTCTGGATCTGAAGCAAAATACCAGAGGAGGAACACACTACTTGACATTGCCTGCTTCTGTGGTCCTAAAGTCATATCTCCAGCCATATCCATATGCAGAAGGCCTTACTAGTCCCACAGCCAGTCAATGCACCCACTGGAGTTCCAGAAATAATTTGGGCAAGAGAACTTTAAACAGGAAAGCAGCTATCCATGAAGGGTGCCATGATTGAGGAGGTATTGGAGGGGTTTGGTCAAGCAAGGACAGAGGAACTGTGCCTGCACTGGTCCTTCCTTCCCCATTTCTCTTCTCACTGCTGTTATGGTTGATGCAGATTTGGAGTTGTGGCAAGTAGCAGAGAAACCAGTCTTTGCTACTGCTGCCTAACTTAGGCAGACAGTGGTTCCCTTTAGACTTCTTTAGGTTTAGGTATTGCTGTAGCTTATACAGCAACATACACAGAAAAATCCTCTACCACCAGACTCCTCCCCAAACACCCTGAGCCCACTGACATGCACAGTCCACACACTATCAGTGCCTTGAGTCTCACAAAACAGTGCTGACGACTAATTTCCTTATGGAAATTGCTAATAGTGGCGCATCCCCAGGACAGTCACCATGCCACTGAACCAGTGAAGTGGCTGATCCATGGGATGTTCCTTTCTGAAGGCACACTCATAGAGAGAAACCCTTCTATGCTGCAGGGGCCTAGACCTTCCTCAAGCTATTCACCCTCACAGCTGCCTCTTTCTCTGCCCCAGCAGCCTAGCAAGGAGCTATTCAGCTATAGAGATTCTGCAGCACCATGCATAGTGGCACGCTGATTTTCAGGATACAGGATTTTAAAGCCTGCCTTTGCAGTGCCCCACATGTCCCAGATACAGACATTTTCCATTTTCCCTTCCCAAACTCATATAATAAAATATAAAGCAAGAGAAAGATTTCACTTCCACTTCTTTTTAATTGGTGTTTTGGTGAATATACAAAAACAAAGAATCAAGGCTGATGGCCAGTGTGAGGACTTGAACCAGTGCACCTTTGGAAGAGGCTTCACCTTAAAACGCTCTATACAGGAGCATATTTCACATGACACATGTAACTATTGAAGTGTTTACTAGGAAAGACACCAGATCAGTCTGGGCCAAAGTAAACAGCCTCTGTTGAGCAGAGCAAGAACTGTAGCTGCTGATGCAAGGACTGGATTTGGTTCAGTGAGCTCCTTGCTTGCATTATTCACAGGAGTTATTCCTTGTCATTATTTACCTTTTGTTCTACCCGATCTGGGTATGAAGGAGAAGTACATAGGGGATGTGACCATACACAGGTAGGTAGCTGAAGCAAGAAGCGTGGTAACCTAAGGGCTTGAGACAGCCACTTTCACAAAGCCAACTACAGCACAGGTCCCCACTTACTCTGCATGAATCTTGTGTAAAGTACATAAGAGTTTTTTTGAAGCAAGTGGAGCTTCTCCTGGACTGGCACTTCTGAGGGCAGGAGCACATGCAGTGGTTCCATCAGTGACAGGAGGCAGGCTTGGATTTAGGGCTTAACGAGCAGCAGATTTTTTATCCCTGACATTGCTTTACTGCTGCCACACTTAAACTCTTTGAGAATCTGCCTTATTCTAAGGCAAGGGGTGACAGAGACCAGGAACAGAAGCTGAACAATAAGATAGATTAGAGAGGTCTGCACTTTTCTCCCTTGCAGCATCTGTCTTTATTGGTCACAGGAGGTTACAGCTTTGCTCACATAGCCCTTGCTGGAGCCTTTAGCATTATGAGTTACATTCAACATAGTTTTAGAGAGACGTTTTTCTGAAGCAAATGTGTATGGACATTTTCCTTTCTGATGGTATCATAGAGCAAATCAGATCACTTCTTAATCTGATGCTCCAAGGATTTCTTGCACAAGGATTGTGCCTCAGCCAGGAGGCATTAAGGCTGGAGAACAAGGGGCAAATAAGGAACAAGAAGATTCTTTCCTGGACTTATCAGCAATATGTGTCAAGTTTTTAGAGGGCAAAAGTGTATATGGGAGAGGTAGTGGGAAAACTTCAAATCCTCCATGGCACAAGGGAAATGGAGCAGGAGACAAATGCTGTTTCACATGGTGCTCCAGGGCAGCGCTGAGGAAACCGGGCCTTCAGTAGTCAATTCTGCTCCAGAAGAACATGGTACCAAGGAGGACGAAGAACTGAAATGACAAGACCACTGGGTTTCTCTGCTCCCCTTTTTCCTTCTCCCCACCTCTCCCCCAGCCCCATTTGGTCCTATTGGTAGGAGAAAGCAACAGAAATTCTTGATAAGCCAAGTCTGTTCAGGCAGAGGAAGCTTAAAGCTTTTAATCTGCACAGAAGTTTCACAGTGAACAAAGAAGGCATGTGCAGCCATAACTACTTGAGTGGATCACTCAGCTTGTTGGGGATTATCCGTCATGAAGCTGCTGCACCCTGAGTACTTAGAACACTCGTACAAAGTCTTTGAACTACAAACTGAATTATCTGTCATGACTGCTGTTTAGATGATCCAATACCTTTCACAAACAAGTACCTGCAAGCTGTGTTGGCTGTGTTGCATTACTGAGGTGGCCGCAAGCCACAAAAGGCTGGAAGGCCATCTAGCTCCTCACATTGTGGAAGCCAGAATGGAGTGGAACTCGCAAATGTAGCCCTGTCAGTGAAACAGGCTACAAGCAAATTGGTGACGAAAGAATAACTATAATCTACAGCCCCTTTAAATGAGTCAGCCCTGTCATCCACCTCCACCCAATTGGGTGTGGATTAGAAAGAAAAGAGAAGCGGAAATAGAGGCAAATATTAAGTACTCACAGTCCAGCAGAGGATGGCAAAACCAAACCAGGCAACACCCCAGGCTTGTGTGTTTACAGGCCCAGAAATAGCGTCATAACAACCCTGTAAGACAACCGTGAATGGATGAATCAGCAGCAGCTCTGAGCTTGTGTCACAGGGAGACGAGATTATCCACCTGTGAGGGAGACTGAGGTGACAGGCTCCTCTCCTACTGCAGCTTGGGTAGCTCATAAGGTCTCAAGAAGACAAGCTGGAGCTACATTGCTTATTGATAACTTGCAGATAGAGTACTGTTTCTAGTTTCAAATACAAAGTAGGCCCATCTCAGACACTTCAAGGACTGGCACTCCTGTGCTATCCACTTGCCAAGTATATATACATAACCAAACTTAGCCAACACAGAGCTGACCTCCAGAAGCAAGAAGCTGTAAGCAAATTTGGAAGCTTGAACACCTTCTAGAAATGCTTACTAGTGTGGCAGTTGATGCTCGTGACCCATAAGACTGAACAGGACAAGCTTGTCTACTGAAAAGTTCTACCTTGAGGAGGAGAGCTATTGACTTGCTCACTTATACTGTGTGCACTAAACTTTGGACTAAGTTTGATTTAGCTGCTGTCCATCTACATGTTGGAGGTGTCAGTTCTTACTGATGGCATTAGGCAAGTTTTCTTAATAGCTCTCTCTCCATAAGGAAAGCCTTTTTACAACCTATCCTGGGTTCAGCAACATGGATACTACAGGTGTTGCTTCTCCTCCAGAAAGCTTCTGAACACCTTCCCTTCCAGCAAGGTGGTTTTGACCAACGTATGTTAACTGTGAAAAGCTGAGAGGATCTTACGTTGCTGTTATAGTAGCCAGGGACTCCAAGCTTGCAGCCATCGAGGTTGGTGGGTGACCCTTGGTCATCCAAAACACAGCAGTTGCGTGGCCAAGGGTAGTCAGCATCATTGTGAGTGGCGCGGAAGGCGGACGTGTACTCCTGCCAGTCGGAGGGGCCATGCACCCCGCAGCACTGGTTCTGCAGGGCAAGAGAAGGGAATGGTCTTTATGGGAGCAGGTCAAAGCCCTCCACACGGCTGGTTAGGCATTAACCACAGATTTATAGTGGACATTTCTGGAGTGCCTGCATTTGACAGTCTGCCATCTGATAAACGAGCAAAGCAGGGAGGGTGGCAGGACTTTCTCTAAGGTTCAAGGCAGATGCCGTCCTCTTTCATTACTGAGTGGCCCCAAGGAGGCCTTGAAATTCCAGGGCTGCAGAGGATTTAGCAATTAGTGAGATATTTCTGTGTTATTATTACCTGAACCATGATTTTATCCCATGTATCTGTGACTCCATCAATCATCCATTTGTCATTGTTATTGTCTGGCTCTGACTTCTTATACCTCTCCAGCATTTGCTTCAGGAAGAGATTTGGAGTGAGCTATAGAAAAACAAACCCAAACGGTGAAGACTGCAGAAACTATTTGAATAAGTGACCATGTAAAGCAAATACAGTGTTATTTGGGGTGGGTTTGTTTGCTTATTTCAGTGTCTTCCTGGAGAACAGGAATGCTGCTTCTCTCCCAGTTTTACATAAAGAGCAGGATTTGAAGCAGAGGAGCAACAAAGACATAGATCTTGAGCATGACTCTTAAACAGGCTCTACCAGATGTTGTATCACAGGAGATGTGCAGAATATAGGGGTTACATTTGATATGTTGCTTGGAACTATAGCACCACAAGTAATTTCCCTCCCTACCAATATCTCCAACAACCCACATAATCTTTCCCTCACCAGTAACACTGCCTAGGGCAATGTTGAAGATTTGTCTTCTGCATATATGATAACTAAACAATGCATCGATGATTCAGCTAATTCACACTGGTATTTCCTTAACTACAAGGTTGCAAATGTTTTAAAGTGTTAAAAATAAAGCTATTTTAAAAAGAACAAAGTAATTTCCTTGATTAGAATAATAATGTCGGAGAGTTTCTTCGTGGGGTCTTATTTTATCTCAGCAGTTCTCTGCATTTACACTGTACCACCATACCAGCCATTTACTACACTGAAAGGGACCACTGTGTGCTGTGGAACTGCAACATTACCCAATGTGGCTTGCAAGAATACTTGAGGAAAGAAATACTCACAAAGTCCCTGTGAGTCGCTGCTGTGATGCAAGAAGCCATTTCAAATGCATAAGTGATCAGCATCAGAATGATGTACTGTGGGAGACAGACAGCAGAGTTAGGGGGAACAGCTAAGCAGTCTTTTCAAGATTAAGCATGAAACTAATCTGAAAAGTCTTTTTCAACCTAGTTGATTCTATGATTCTACAATTTAAGGCAGCAGAGGCCAGGCTATCCTACCTTCAGTCCTCTATATGCCCTGAACATTCATGTAGCCCTTCTCTTCTGCTTTCTTGAAGGTGTATGACTGGGCTTGTTCTACCTCTCCCAGACAAGATCTCATCAGCAGCTCATGGCATTAATATCACCCTGCCTTCATGGAAAATGTTTTGTCTGATATGCCCTAGAATAACGTTTGCCCTTTTCTTTGTTGCATCTCTTTAGCGACTTATGCTTGTGCGATGTCTCCTCCTTCCTCTTCCACTTGCCAGCTATAAGATTTTTAGCAAGAAGCCATTCACTCCTATCAGGAGAGCTCCTACTTTGGAGAAGCAGAAGGTGCAATTTAGGGTGTCTTTCAGATCCTCCTGATTTTGCATCGTGAGATTTCCTCAGCATTGGTACTATGCGAACAAAGATCTTTCATGAAAATAGATCCTTCATGAAAAATATCCTGACGATCAGCTTAGAGTCTATTCACTGTTTCTCTTCCCTTCTCAGCACAATCCCTTTAACCTTTCCGATTTTCCTCTTCGTGTTCTCATGTCTCTATTTCTCCTTCCACTATTTACAATGTTCTTCTTGGATTCAAGCCATTTATTTCCTTCTTACCCCGGCTTCTGCCCCTTGTACTCTCTCCTGTACCACAGCCTTGGGTTTCAGACAAGACACCAAAATTCAGACGTAAGAGAATTCTCTTCCCTCGTTTGTTTGCTGGCCAGTTCATGGCACAAGATTTCAGATCTCTAAGTGTCTCTTGGTTAAAACAGCCTGCCATCCCACATTAATCCAAGAGAGAGCCGATTCCAGAGGTTTCGGCTCTACCCTTCATTAATGAAAGCACCAATCACTGCCAACCTAAGGGACTAAGAGATAAATTGTACAGAGATTTGTTCACACCTTAACATTGTTCTTGGCTTAGCCAAAGCTCTCTGTCCCCACCCCTGTAATTTCTGCCTGCCTGCTGATGTCTAGTGTTCTCAACTGAACCCTTATTTGGTATACTAACACATACTAATGCCTTGTACAGAAGTGATTACTTATCAGCTCCTTAACTGAACGGTGTAGGACAGCTGAAAGTCAGTAACTGGTGGGGAGAAAGAAGAATCTAAACCACATCCCAGCTACATCTGATTGCACAAGTGCTTCTGCATTGCTTCAGGGCAAGGTCAGAGTCAAGCCAGTCAGCTTAAACCTCCATTGTGGCTGCCACCATTCATTCCCTCAGCCTGATTTAGGATTTTCTCAAGCACGTGTCCTCACCATGTGGGACACTAAGCCATGATAAAGAAGAACCTTTGGCTCCCTACCACTAGTAGAAGCTGTCTTTGCTCAACGTGTGATTACTAAGGTGAGCAGGGAAACTAAGGCAGCATTTTGTCAGTTTGCAGCAATTAGGTAGGCAAACATTGCCACACTTACCACAAGCAGCAAGGTCTTGTTGGACTTAATGACTCCAACGATACCAAGGATAGACAGAACAAAGAGTGCAAAGCCAACAAAGATGCCAATCCAGGCAGCAGCATAGATGTCATCGTTTTCTGTGGCTTCCAGCAGAGGGTAGAGACCATGGGGATCAGACACAAAGAAAATGCACTCTGCTGTCAGGGCAATGCCGCACATCTGAAAAGTGCAAGTTCAGGAAATCCATTAAATGGAGCTTCCCCAAAGAAATAGAAGAGATAGAAAAAGATGGAGACCTCTTTTCTTTCATTCAACTTCCTGTCAAACAGGAGCTACTCAACTCCTCCTCTGCCCAGCTCTACAATATCTTGTATTGGGCCTTCACAGAAGAGATGCAGACAAAACTCAGCCAGCCTAGACCTCAGAGACCAGACCTAGGATTTGAGGATGTTAAGAATCAACAGAACCTTTCCCATCACTATATGGATGGAGGTGGCTGGGAAGATGTTGGTCAGCAGCAAGAGATTTTCACCTAGAACTCATGTTGGTCTTGTGGATCAGCCCCTGCTGTCCCCTCACCACCCAACTCATGAGCTAACAGAGCTCTCCTTTACCCCTCCTCTCATGCTTTACTGGTGTACTTATGTGTAGAATTAACGTATGAAGAAGGATTTCATGGCTGGGAACTGCTGTTTTAAGAAGTGTCATACTAGAAGGAAGCCTCCACCCATACTTGTTCCACTTCACTTACCCCAATGACCACATTCCCAAAGACTAATAGACCCTGTAAGATGCGTATGCCATCACTTTTTGCCATCCTCAGTTCTTCATGCAACCTGGGAAAATCCAAAGACAGTCTTCAGTTAGACCAGTATAATAGGCTTCACTCAGAAATAGATATTATCCCTAAGGAGAAGGACAGGCAGAACCTGCCAGCCTTTCTGTACACCTCCCAACCCTTGCTTCATAGCAGCTACAGAGGAGAAACTTCCCCAGGTGTGAAACCGGTAACTCAAACTCCCTTTGAGGTTTGAGCTACAGAAGATTGGGACCACTCAGGGACAGTATCTTTGGCTTCCTTTTGGGTAGGGTTTTCATCACCACAACAGCACCTATGCAGATATCAGCCCATGGAGTTGCATTTCCATCTGGTTAGAAACACCAGCTACACACAGATGAACAGTGGACAAGTTCAGTGCCTTCATCTTGCTTCTCTTCCAGAGGAGCTGGCTTTATCCAAGGATGTGCTGTACACCCTCCTGGCTGTTAATTTTGGCCGGCACTACCAACAGGACCAAACTAGCAACCACAGTGCTTTAGCAGTACCCTACACATGTAACTACAGCACACAGCTTGGCAACAACTTAGTGTAAGAGTAGCCCCATCTCCCACCCATGCCAGGAACTAGAGCTGAGACACCCATTCCCAGTCAGGTGCAAGGGAGGGATGGAGCAGCTTAGGCTGCAGCTGGCTCATGGGACCCAGGCCAAATAGCATTCCCAGCAAATTCCTGAGAGTGCTATATCCTGCAGGCTGCGGCCAGGCACCCCACATTGAATTCACCCCCTTCCACAAGGAGCAGCATAAAGGCACTAGTCAGAGGTGTCAGACCTCTTGGAGAAACAAGCCCAGATGCCAGCGCCAACCAAGTCCTTCTTTCAAAGGGATGGAGCACATGTGTGCATGGAGGCGGGGGGGGAAACCCAATCCCAAGACAGTTGCATTTGCTGGGTGGTTAAGAAAATACAAGCTGTGAAAGAAAAGCTAAAGTGGGCTTGACTTGAGCAGACCAAAGGACAAGCAGCTTGAACAGCCGGAGTATCTGCACTAGTGCCTCCTCTTGCTGGGGTTACTGACCCAGGGGAGACATCTCCAGTGCTCTCCCCATTATACAAACAGAAGACCACATAAATGTTTTCCCATGATAATGGGACTGGGGATGGCCATTATTTCCAAGGTGAGAAGACATTTGTATTCCTAGCCAAGCCTTTGGAGGCCAGCCTAAGATGCCTGAAGCTGTATTGCTCTGTATCTGAAAATGACAGGCTCACAACTTCAACTGAAGCTTTGTCCCTAACAAACTTGTTCACCAGCCAGCATGCTCAGGGGGGAACAAAGAACAGCCTTGCAGGTCAAATCTTGGTTTGGGCAATGTCTGGTTACCTGTGATCTACAATACAACACTGTGGAGTCTGCCAAACCTGAGATGGATGGTGGTCCTCTACTCATCTTGAAGCTGGGGACACCATTGCCTGGTTCATGGATCTTTTGCTGCAAACTCAAGAGAATTTCAAAAAGCCTTTACTTATTGCTAACTAAGAGACACCCCAAGTCAGAGGTCAGTCCAAAAAGCAAGGAAATCTTCCCTGTTTGAATGCAGGCATGTGAACCCTGACTACTACATGGAAAAGCAGGTGAAGACAGCAGGACTGAGTGTGCCATGTGGCTAGCACGACAGATCACAACAAGAGTGATTACCAAACCCACAACCCTTTCCTTAACATTGCAGAAAGCTCTTTCTCCCTCCCTTTTTCTCCTACAGACCCCCCTGCAGTGTAACAACACCTTGTATGTGGGCTGTCCACCCACTCCATGTGCTTTCTTCCCCACAGGCTGGCCTTCTTCTCCTCCCTGGCAGGCAGGACCTGGTTCACTCTTCCCTTTCGTTGGGCAGGTATTAATGCAGTCACACCAGTCCAAGTTAGCAAACCTCTTGTCCTGGGGCAATCCCATCTCCTAGGCTACTGTAGCTGGGAGGAAAGCTGCACACAGTCCCCATCACACAGATATCAGCTGGATGGTGACAAGCTTCTAAGGAGCTTAAGGCATTCAAGTACCTTACTTATATCCAGTGGAATTGTGGGGTGGGGGAAGCAGAGTCCAAGAAGAGGAAAAGGGAAGGAAGAGCCTTTAATGTAGATCTAACAATACACACTGTAATAGATCTGGGTCTTTCCATGGGCTGCCTGCTCCTTATGACTCTGAGCTAAGCTGTGTTAAGCAAGAGCATCTCGCACAGTACTTGGTACATGAGGCAAACCCTGGCTGGCTTGCCCAAGGCGAGCTGCATGCAGGTATGACTCTCATCCACCCTTGGGTGTGACAAGAGTTGAAGTCCTCCTCCCATCCCCCGAGCGACAGGAACCAGCAGCTCCTGCCTGCGGACACTGATCAGTTGGGAGGTGCAGAAGACTTCCTTGAGGCTGGTTGGGATCAGTTTTGCCACTCAAATACAGTTTCCTGGGGGCTTCTGGGAAACCCCTGAGAAAATCAGAGCTTTGGATGCAGTCGTTATCCAGAATCTGCACTCAAGAAGGTGACCAGTTCCTGGGATTTCAGCCTCGAACTTGCATGGACCTAGTGTTCCTCAGCACATCTTGTGTACCTTGTAATTAAGTCATAATCCGTCTAGTTCCCAGGTATTCAGTTATCACTGCCACACACTTTGCTCCATGCTACAAGCAGCTCTGGAAAGATGTCTGTTGATCCCATTGTACCAGGAAAACCTCTGTCCCTCCTCAAGCACATAGTTCTTCATCTTCCCGATGCCCTGGTCAGAACTCAGACTCCAGCATCTCCCCTATTCTCTCCCCTCAAACCCTCAATGCACTCTTGATGCCCATAAAGGTCCAGCTGAGCTCATCAGAGCCCAGGAGCAGCAGTAGCCCTCTTTCCCCCTATTCCTCCACAAGTTGCACAGGATCTGTTATTTTCATGCCCTTGTAGCTTTCTTGATCTCTCCTCCCTTCCTCTGCTCAGAGTGGCTCTGCATGATATGCAGCAGAACTTTGGGAGCTGAAAGGGACTCTCCTTTCTGCAGAGACTTGTATTTTAGGTGACAGCCCTAGTTAAGCTCTCAAAGGAAGCCCTGCACATGGCAGTTCCTGGATTCAAGCAGGATTCAGTCTCTGTTGTTCATCCCTCACATGCATTGGGATTGTTGATATTTTGAAGCTTCCACACTCTTTCTGCAGAGTGGGACAGGTTTTCAATAGCCTTAGAGGTGAATGCCGCCTGCTTAGCTTAGTCCTACTCCATCTCCATCCAAAAAACCTTAGTGGGTAAGAACTGGTTTGGCATTGTCCCATGCAGAAGTGGGTTGCATTTTGAATACTTTGTGTTTTGTATCAGTTTTCATGGTGGTATCACAGCACTGTGACTAAGGAGTGTCCAAAAACAACCCTGTGAGCATCATTTGTCTCTGCACCCTGCTTATGGAGGTCACAGCACATCAAAGGGACTTAACAGGGGCTCCCCTCTGCTTCAGCGCCCCTGTGCAGGGCGTTGCATTCACCTCCTTGTGTAAGGAGGCAGAGACAAGGGCCACATTTGTTTTATTACTCATGTGCTCCACACACCTTGGCTGATGGGTTCCACTCCACTCGAGCGCAACTAAACAAACCCATCCAACGGCAGAAACCTCATCCCGCACCCACCTGGGCCCCACACCTCCTGCCCCTTGTGCTCAGCTGCAGAGCATGTTTCTACAGGCAGGAGCAAGATGAGGCTGGGGCACTGATGGAGGGAAGCCAGTGGGGTGGAACTGCTGCCGGAGGTGCTGTGCCAGCATTGGTGCCCATGCCAGTGCCATGGGAAGCCTCTGTGAGACACAGACCTGACCTGCTCTAGACACTGATGCACAGAGGGGCCAAACAGCAATAATAAACCTTCCTTTCCCCCCCTGGTTGTTTTAGCAGAAAATGTATCTATTAAAGGGCTTAAAGAGAAGATAATTTCCAAGTGCCTGGGCCATCTTCAGGGTTACACAGTTTTAAAGAGGATGCAATTAAATATGCTATTGACGAGTTGCTTGGACACTGCTGTAAGAAGCCAAATGCTTTACAAGTGTCGATTCATCACTTGTTTACCTATTGGAAAGCAAACAGCTCCAGAGCATACAACCCCACACATTCCTTCTGCCCTGCCGGACTTCCCCCGTTGCTCTACCTGTATCAAAATGCAGCCACCTCTGACAGAGAAGGGCTTGTGCACTAGGAGTCAAGCACGCTCAGGAAAGGAAGAGCCAGCCAATTATTCTGTGCTACCAGGGGAGAAAAATAAAGCAAAACCAAAGCTCGGCATCAAGCAGGGGTCAGAAACTAATTAAGTTTCCTTTTGAGAAAGATTGCTGTGAAATGAAGCCTGTGTGAATGGTGGAGTGGCTGGTAAATCATCATCAAGCATAATTACCTGGGAAATAGAGCTGGGAGGTAGGTTTTTCCTCTCTCCCTTATTAGATCAGCACAGCCAAAACAAGCTGAGTGGGGTTTTTTTTGCCTTTCCTATTTTCACAAGTGAAGGGGAATGACAGGGATCATCTTTCCCTGCAACAATTCCTGCTTTTTTTACACTCCTTGCAACACATTTAATTTTCCCATTCCCTTCTCCCCAGTCTTTAGGAGAGAAAATATGAAACAGATTAAAAGAGCCGTAGAGAAGACAAAGCCTGAGGTAAGAAGGATGAAATATATTATCTTCTGCAGTTAACCTTATCCAGGTACCAGACTCCCACATACTAAACACAGCCCAGGGGTTAAAATACCAAACATTAAACCTTAAAAGACTCCTTTCCTCCTAACAGACACTTACAGCTCATTGAGAGGAAGACGATGACCAAAGCAAAGCACTCACCCCTCTCTTCTTGTGATGCTTCCCAACAGCAACCCCGACCCACCTCCAGAGCTGAAAAAGCCCCTTTTCTCACCCCTCCACTGGGCTTTAAAGAGCCCGGATGGCTTGAGGAAAGTGCTTTGTGATTGGTAGGGTGCCCATCACATGAGGAAAACTATTTTTTTCTAGCCAAACCTGTTCGCCAGTGCCTCTGGGACCGGAGGGTGTCTCTGTGATCCTTAGATCGTATCGGAATGCCGTCGTGCTGAAAGCACAACGCTCCAAAAATGTCTATTATTACACTCTCCAAAGGGTGGGTGAGTGACTCACCTGTACGAGACACTTGAACTTTAAAGAGGATGGGCAAGTTGGAAGGACGTAAGTGCAAGTATTAGGATTGCTGGAGTGCTACTTGAACGTGGGTATAAGAAGAATGGGCTGACGAGGAAAAAAGAAAGTGTAAAATAATGCCAGTGTTTTCATTTCATTACGTTGCATGGGGAAAATCCAGTGGGTTGGGTTGGATCCATTTTCATTTCATTTAGGTTGGGATTTTCTTTGGAAACAGAAGTGTAGGCGTTGGCTACCCTGCAAGACAACTGTGGAGAACATGGAAAGTGGGGAGACTATTGCATTTCCTTGGCAGTTTTAACACATTCAGGCTTCTTAAGACAGAGCAAAGTCAAGCATAGACATATTTAATATACGCCATGTATTAATTGGCCTGTAATGAACTGAGAGGGGCTAAGGCTGAGGCACACAGCAGAAAAGTAACGTCTCTCACCTTCTTCTCCCTCACTGATTCCTCTACAGGTCTGCCAAAAGCCATAATTCACATTACTGGAGCCTTGAGCACATCTCTGGCAGAAGTGCAGGTGGTTGTGCTTGGGGTTCTTCATCTGCTGGTGCAAAAACCAGCCAAACGAATAATGGCCTTAGGAAGGGTGATGTTTCTAGAGCCCTTCATAAGTCAAAAGCAAAAGTCAGAAGAATATCTATATATCTCCTTGGTAGCCATCGTTGTAACTATCTTGTGGGAAATCAGTGAGAACTTTTTATGGATCTCCTTGGTATTTGGAGACAACTGAAGAGAGATCCAGCTCTCCTGTAAGATCCCTATGAGATTTCACCCTGGCTTTTGGCATTTCCAGCTCCATGAGGTATCACAGCAATATGCAAAAGAGGATATAGCCATTGCAGCCAACCTGATCGAGTAGACAGGGACAATAAGCTTGTCATTTGGGTGTTCAAGAGTAAGGGTGCAGATTTGTCTGGATGTAAATAACTCAGACCTGTTTGCCCATTGTTTGTGCTCCCTACAACACGTGATGTCTATTTCAGTGCATTCACCACCCCATCTTTTGACAGCCGTGGTGTGGCTGAGACTATGAGCTTGCATGAACGCATGTGCAGAGCAGAGCATCAGAGACTTGAACAAGGGCATGCAGTGGGGTGACCAACCATGCAGTGGGAAGCCCAAGTGCCACCATGGGTACTTCCAGTGAGGTGCCTGTGGCTGCTTTAGCCTCCCCTGTAGGTCTGTGCTTGCGCTGGCATACTTCAGACGATCTGTGGCAACACCTCTATATAACAGACCCATACATCTGTGCAAGCTCTTGCACTTCCAAAAGTTACAGACTCAAGAGTGCACACCCATTCCCCCTCACAGAGCCATATGTACATACACACACATGCACATATACAAATCCATTAATATATGTGCTTTCCTCACATGTATCCACACATAGATCCACATGCACCTCTGTTTATATGTGAGTTAAAGGCAAAGTGCTGGCTCAGGAGTGAAGACACGCTGCGATCTGGGGTTTCACTAGAGGAACAGTCAGATGCTGAGGCCACAGCCTGGCCCATTTTCAGATGGGGGTGTAAAATGAGATTTCTCAGGAGCTCTGCTGCTTAACTATAGCAATGTGCTCTGTGTATGACAGGGCAATGTGAGAACACGCCTGTCACAAAGTATGCTGTGCTTTCTCAGAATTGGCAGGTTGGGGATGCTGGAGGATGCCCAAAGTGAGAATAAAGATGCTGAAAAGGGCTGATGAGATGCTGTGGGCAATTCCAATGGGCTGGCCCTGCTCCTACTCTAAGAATACCCTTCCTATATAGTTTGATTTTTTTCTTCATAAAATAATGGTTTAAGAATGTGAGAGGGAGGAATTAGGGAGGGACGAAGCACACAGGGAGGAAATAGAGGTCACGGCCAAAGCAGCAGGGTCCCAGGTGTCATTCCTGTGACTGCCTCATGCCAGCATCACGAAGGAACCACTCCCATCCATGAACAGGAGGCTCCTAACTGCATTCGCAGTGCTGCATGGGAAGATCAGATCTCACAGTTAGGAAATCCCACATCCGAGCAGCGTGGCTGCAGTGTTGGCCAAGCTCATACAAGACCCATGCACATTCAGCTGGATGCACATTGTTTGGTCGCAGGGGGAGGACGGTTTGGATGATGGTTCCTGCAGCACACAGCAGCAGGGCAGAGCATCACTGCTGGGAATGCATCCGAGCATCCCTACCACAGCACGCCGCACAAGCGTTGCCCATGAGGGCACCTTTCAAGGCAGAGTCCCATCCTCACCACCACGGTCAGTGACCTCTCCCTGACCAGCCCCAATTCCTGCCTGCCCTCCGGCTTCACTCCCGCATTCCCAGGAGGGCTGCAAACAGCTGCTTCCCCCTCCGCAGTTCAATCTTCCTTCCCTCGGCCAGATTTGGGGCTCAGGCTCATGCCTGCCACCCAGACCCTCCATGTGCCATGGCCAGGGGCCAGCTCCTCCATGGAGGAGAAGGGAATTCCTCATGGATGCCTTCTCTCCTGTCTCAGTGCATCCACACGGGGGGGTGAGGATGTGAGCCATGGGGGACAGATGTCCCTTGGGTTTGCAGCTGGCCTGGCTTCAAGCCAGCCTTGCCTGCTGCCTCCTGAGCCACGTCCTGGCTTTTGCTACAGCTGCCTCCCCCTTTATAGAGCATTTTTGCCCTTTCTTTGCCACTTCTATAGCTCTCAGCCTCAAGAGAGAGGAGTAACTGCAGGGTGTGGAGGATAAACAAGTGAACACCACCTAGGGAGATCAGGGGAGAGCAGCCCTGTGCCTGAAATTGTTTACCAAACAGTGCTGAGTGTGGGGAGACAAATGGCATACCGTTAGCAACGACCATGGGCTAATTATAGTGGGTTAGGATAAACCACAGGGTCCCTGGGCTAGGTCTGCAAACATATAGCCTGAAAAAGCAGGACTGTATGTATATATTTAGTATAACGTGGAATGCAGTAAGTAGCTTCTTTCTAAAACTTCATGTACCTTGGTGAAGAGCAGTACAGAAAGCTCAGATACAGGCACCTTTGTGATGCTGGTAATCCTGGGATTTGCATTTGGCAATGCATAATCCACCCTTAAACATGGCATTGCACTCTCCATTCCTAAGAAGACTGCCATAAAGCTCACTTTCTGTGGTTCTATGATTCTCTCAAAGATTGGGGTTTCTTAATCTTTTGGGGAAGGAGAGGGATACACCTTTTTTATCCTCGTTTTGTAAGGTGGATTTATTCATGAGCTTATAATCGTGGCTGTATGTTGGTGTTGTTAAGACTTGCAATTTTGGGTGTCTCCATTAAGCCCAAGCTACTGGAATCATGCGATAGCATGAAAATCTGTACTTTGAGCCTTTCAGAAAGGACTGTTTCTTCTCCTCACAGGCAGCAAGGATGAAGAACTTGGAGGAAGCTGCTCTGTCTGGTAAAGAACTGGGTTAAGGCAGGGAACTGCTTCCCCCTGAAAATTCCACTGCTCATAGTGGAATCTGCACATGTGGTAAAGGCAGTAACAAATGAAATCTCTGTACCCCACTGTTAACAATCAGGCCACTGCTGTGGCTCCCTTTCTCAGTGGTTGCAACCCAGAAGCTTAGAGGAATAGTGGATGTTCATAAAGGTTAACCTCTGCTGGCTGCTACTGCTGTTGAATAATGAAGACCCTCAGGCTGCCTTCTTGTACACATTGAGAGAGATTTGGGCTCTAAATCTTACCCTGAGGATGCCTCTTTTCCTTTGCTGGCTACAAAGGAAACTCATAGGAGAGCATCTTCACAGGCCTGAGGCCAACTTCTGCAAGGGAACACCTAGACCAAAAGATCTGCATCTTCGAGCTGATCTCACCTTGGCCTTGCAGCAACCCACAGGTCACATATTTGTATGTGCAGGGACCAGAAGATAAGCACAGAGGAGCCTGGGGGGAGCGGGAGGTCAAACCCTGCCCTGGTTCTCCTCCCACCATGGACATTCTCCAGGCAGGGGAGGGGAGCCAAGCCCTTCAAGAGTGGCGTTGCCCAGCCAACACCCTTGATGGCGTAAAAAGGGTCAGTAAATGGGACGTGGCTTCCCCTTGAATCTCATTGTGAGATGAGGGCAGGCGAGCTCACTCTGAATGGGAGCCTGACCACATGGAAGGCTCACAGGAGGCTAGAAACGTCACGTTACCTGAGATCTTACAAAATACATTCAGGACATAAGACTTTTGAGAAGACAGAAACTTTCTGCTTGTGTTTTAGATAGCTCCTTTAAAAAGCTGACAATGTCCAGAGAAGGTCTGCTTAGAAAGTATCTCTGTATTGTTATTTTGAGAGCTTTCTGGCCTCTGGAATACTGCATATGTCAGTGTCAATATATTTATTAGGATGTGGTCCTGTCTCCTAACTGGCCTTGCCACTGTGATGAACTTTTGGTGCTGGTGGTTCAGTTGAATTTCATATAACACACTGGGAACAAGCTGTTCTGTCTGGACCTAGTGACTGCATTGCTCTTGCTGATGGTTAAAACTCTCTCCTCCAAGATCCCCTGCGTCAGTCACAAGCCACAACATGGTAGAAAGAAGATGTCTTGTTTGGGCACCTTTACTACTTTGTTTGCAAGGGGGCAAACAAATTTGCTCATATTAATTGTTCCAGCTCATTATTAAAAGGTACCTGGGGATAACTCATCCCCCCCAAATCCATACTGCTTCCCTCCTCTGCGTTAGCTGCTTCTGGTGTGGGAGGCTGTAGCACGCTGGCAGCAGAGCACTGCCATCTACATACGCTTGCCTGTCACTATCCACTTTCCAACATGCTGCAAGGCAAGTGCTGCAAGCATATGTCTCATCTCCACCATCCATCTTGCCATAGGGATGGAGCATCAAAGAGAAAGAGAGAGGACAGTCAAGCTACAGCCTTATCGCAAGAACCTCAGCAGCCAGAGGAAAGGGGAATAGCAAAGGGGTGTTGGCTGGTGCAATGTTTAGGGGCACTGGGATGGAAATAAATAGCATGTGTGTCTTGGCCAAGTTTATAGTACCCATGGGGTGACAGCCTATGCTTTGGCAAGGGTGTGGTTGATGTCTCACACACATGACTCATTGCTTTGATAGAACTGTAGGCATTGTCCAATGCTCTTCCTCTCAAACGCTCTTCTAAGGTTTCAGTAAGGACCTGGAAACTTTCCTGAGAAGCCTCTGAGACTCGGACCCTGTCATGTACCTGGGGTTTGACCCACTCAGACCTGTACCTATCCGTAACTGGGTTTTGGTTTCAGGTGCGAGATGGACGCATCCAGTCGTTTTACATGGACCTTTTCTCCTTTACTCCATGGCTGGACGTACACTCTTTGGAGTTAGC